TGGAGGATCGTCTCCTTGAGGAGCAACCACTCTCCTTGGACACCTGTCTCCCCTCCCCTCCGGGACCTCAGTGCTTCCCCAACTATCCTCCTTAGCTCGTTGAAAAGTCCTCCAGGTAGAATATTATTCTCCCTGAAAATCATGGCATCTGTGTATCATTCTCTGCTGCCACAAAAGTAATAGTTTTCCTAACACTACTGTAAAATAACAGTGAATAAAAGACCACATTGTGTAACCACCAGCATATGCCGTCTAGTCCAGACTTGTAAACAGCTACTGTTTTTGTGTTATCATTCTTCATATTTGGTAAGGGCTAAACAGCAGAGAGAGATTCTCCCCCCCCCCCCTTTTTTTATTTGTATGGCATTTTTGGATGGTGGGGAAAGAACCTGTGTCAGTAATAAACATGTCTCACTTATCTGTGGATTGAACATTGATATTTCCCCTTTTTGGTATGTGTAAGAAGGGAAAAATAAGCCTAATGGTTGCTTATACCACTTTGAGGGTCATTAGGTCCCTTGCCTGTTGTTGACATATCCATGTAATGTATCAACGTCTGAGGAACCAGTTTAAAAATAAAGACGTTAAGTCTTCCTTTTGCTATTTTATAGAAATTGTCTTACTACTTCTGAAAGACTTCAGTGATTAAAATGGGTGCCGTAAATCTAATGTTGTCTCTCACACATAATGTTTTTAGTAAAGAAGAATGAAGATTTCCCATGTTATGGTACAACTAAACACAGAAATTATTTGTTGGTGGTCTTGGTTGTACATCTACAGTAATTAATTATGTGATCTGTGTTTTATGGCCCTAAAGTTGAGATGCCAGGCCTCATCAAAGAGACTATTATATATCAGAATGTTGTGAGCACCACCTGGTAGTAGCAAAAAAGGAGTAAATTCTAAAAAATAACTTTTATATGCTCCACAGACTAAAGATAAAAAGAGTTTAAAATAGAACAAGGAAAGGAACTATATATTGCCTAAGGATTTTCTCAAATTGCAATGCTTATTTTTTTTCTTTGAGAGAGGGTAATATAAAATTGTAGCATTCTAGACTTTCATAAATAATACCTCTAGTGCAGAGGACATAAGCAATCAACCTTGATTATCTGACTCTTCATTGTTCAAAAATCCGTGTCATCCAGAATAGGGTCATGTCCCCTGATGGTTGTTAATTACATTGAGTATTCTGTTTACCCAAAGCCTTTATTTCCAATATTTTTATGTCCACCCTAATCAGGTTAGCAGTGCACCTTCCACCGTTAATGTATGTGAAATTGGTGTGTTAACGATGTGGGATTTTATTAGAAGAGTCAGCATAGTGTAAATTTCCTTTTTTTGAACTGTAATAGCTGAAGAGAAAAACCTTTTCTCATTTTTAAATATATCCAGCAGAGTACATCCAAAATTAAATTAGCAAAATCTTTGCCCTTTGATATGTGTTGAGAAAATGCAGAGATAGTAAGTGCCTCTTCTGTTCAATATGACTGGCTTTTTAAGAAAAAATAATTTAACTCATATAAAATTATATTAGTCCAATGGTGAGTTATAAAAATCACAGAAATATATTTGGATAATTAAAATATTGTTATCTTCTTGGTTAACTAGTGTTGTATTTGCTAAGGACATTATTAGATCCCTCCTGCTTCACTGACAGAAATTATCATTGCAAAGAGACCTCACATAATGCATATTTTTTTCCTAAATCTGCTGTTATTTAGCCTACAGCCATAAAAGGAGACAATCTGGCTGAAAGAGATTTGAATTTTACTATTGGACTAATAATTTTCTATAGCATGTATTTTACTTTGGGGTTTGCTGCAGGATTTGCTCCATCTGACAGAAGTTGATCTTAGGAAAATGGGAATTGAGAACCAAATTCACCGAACACACATAATTTCCAATATTTTGCTGCTTCAGGAGGCAGAAAGAAGAAAAGGTAAGACGTCTATGTTGTTCCTTAAAGGCTAAGAAAGTATATTAATATAATCTTCCAGTCCTGAGACTAAGAGAAATGAAAATGGTGATTCAACCTAGGATGCTGCTTCTGATCAGGGGCCACATTATTACAGTATTCAGACATTAATTGTGAATAGCTGGAGGTTAAGCTATTTGTGAGGTGTCCAAGGGTTCAATAAGCCACTCTCATTCTAGTGTTTTTTTTATTAGAAGAGGCCACACATCCACTTTAATTTCTATTGCCCTCACTGTTTTTATCCTAACAATAAGATGTGGTAGTGTTAACAGACCATTTAGCTGATGAAAGGCTGAGTCATGAATTCCTCTTTCTCATTCAGAGTGACTAAAAGGTCAAGACTGAACAGTATTCAGCATATGTCACTTCAGCTTTATGAGAAAAGAGGCAGTAAGCACAGTAGTGCTGGTTTAAAGGAAGAATTAATAACAAAGGGATTTCCTTCCCTCCTCTTTCCATACAGGAGCGTGTTCTGAAATGTTAGGATTTAATTAAGATGCCGTTTGTTGGTTTTGATACTGACTCTTTCCCAACTAAGCATGAAAATTCAGCTCTCAGCTCTTCCAAATGTTCTGAGTGGAGGGACAAAGCAAGATATTACTTGTAAGTCTTTGGTCTTTACAAAGGATCTTTTAACACTAAGTTACTTTTGACAACGAGATCTGTTTATGATGTAGTTTAATCACAATAATTGTAAAATATCCTGGTCATTCTAAGGTTCTCTCAGACTGCACAGGAACCAACATTTTATCTGACTGTTTCTTTCGCTCCCACTGAAGTGAGAACACTTGGCTGGGGCTAGAGCATGTGGAGGAGCAGAGTCTTCACAAACAAGTTTTTATCAGTACTAGAGTTTATGTTTGAAAGTAACATGTAGTGCAGGGGCACTGCAAAGCAGTTACATACAGCCAGATGTGTAAAATATTTCTCTGACTTTAAAAAAGTTATAGAACATTTATATAATTCAAATAGGATCAAAGAAGAATAGTTTATTAATGTTCACAAATGCAGACAATAGAGACATTTAAAATGTGGACCTGCCATATCTCATTTTGTATCCTGTGTGATGAAGAGCAGGATAGTGTACAACTTGATTACAGTATTTTACTGAAACTGGGAGCCCCCTACTATTTCTTTTTTTTTAAGACTGGAATTGTGTGGCCTTCCTCATACTGGAGTGGTGAATGGATTATTTGTCCCTCTTTGAAACACAGTAAAGGGAAGTGAGTATAATCAACATTTGAGAACTCATTTAGAGTCCTGTATCCAATTCTGGACACCATACTTAAAGAAAGATGTGGACAAATTAGAATGGGTCCGGAGAACAGCAGTAAAAAATGATTTGTGGTCAAGAAAACCTGAAATACGAGGCAAGGTTGGAAAAATCAGGATTATTTCTTCTAGAGAAGGCTGAGGGGAGATTTGATAAGTCTTCAAATATAAAAAGGGAGCTTTAGGTTGGATGTTAAGGAGAACTTTCCAACTCCCGGTAGTTAAGCACTAGAACAGATTATCTAGAGTGACTGTGAAATCTCTTTTGCTGGACGTTTTTCAATGCCAGTCAGATAAACTTTTGTGTGGGCTGGTTCAGACGGGGGGGATCCTGCTTTGAGGGGGGCTTGGCTTAAATGACTTCCTAAAGTCCCTCCCAGCCCTATTTTTCTATGATTGCATGGCTTTCAGAAGGGGCTCCTAGATCTTCAGCCACACAATAATTCGGTGTATAAGTATTTACAGATCTGTTCAAGCGGCTCAACAGTGCCTGCTAAAATTCATAAAAATAACCACAATTTTCAGATTGTACAGCTAAATGTGTGTAGCTAAATTTATCCCTAGCATAATGCTGAAGGCTTCAATTAATCTGAACTAAACTTAAGCGTTTCTTTCCTGAAGTAAAGCATATATTTTATGACCTCTTGACATATCATCTAGGCCTATGCAAAGTGGCTAGTATTCACTTTGGATTCAGATTCAGCCGATTCGGGGAGCAGCAATTCGATTCGGCGATTCGAATCACTGCCCTGATTCAATTCCGCCAAATCAGCCAGGCCAGGCCCATCCCCCGCCCCCTCCCAGCCCAGCAATGGCTGCCACGCCCCAGCTCCCGGCACTTGTGGGGAAAAAAAACCCCAGGTAAGCAGGTACTGCTGGGTGGGGGGCAATCCCCACCGCCTCCCACTGCTCCACACTGCATGTGGGGCTCTGCACAAGCCCCCTCTACCCCACTCCCCCAGCCCCTCACGGATGCCCTGCATGGCTCAGCTCCGGCCCTTTAAGAAAAAAGAACCTGAAGAAACCCTGAGAGTCACCACTGCTGCTGGCGGGGGGTGATCCCCGCTGCTCCCCACCACTGGGGGCTCTGCAGAAGGCCCTGAAGCCCCGGGGCTGCACCAGGAGCAGTGAGTCCCAGGGCTTTTCTTGGCTTTTTTTTTCTTAAAGTGCCAGCGCCCCAGCAGACGGGGCAGCCATGCAGGGGCCAGGGGAGAAGTGGGGTGTTGAGAGGGCTCATGCAGAGCCCCCTGTGCAGCATGGGGCAATGGGGATTGCCCCCTGCCTGGCAGCACCTGGTGAGCACCGGAGCTTTTTTTTTAAAGTACCGAGCTGGGATGGGCGGG